TATATATATATATATATATATATATATATATATATATATATATATAGTTTAATTTGCTCATTTTTAATAATCTGTATTCTTTAATTTACCAGAAGCTTCAAAATAAATTCTCACCTGTACTGAAACCTATTTCAAGTTTAAGTCACGATTATGAGCTAAATCCAGATTTTCCATCTACAGTGTTTGGTAAATAACTAAAATGTCATAACAAAAGTCAAGATATTTATAATACATCTTTATTGTCACAGAGTCAGAGTTTCTTTATTTGTCTTTCCACCTCATGTGGTACATGTGGTGGAACGAAATTTTGTACACAGTGTCCAAGTTACATCCAACAATAAAATGTAGAAGAAAAACAGTAATAACATCTAAGATATGAACTAAGAAAAACATCAACTAAATATACACTAAGCACTAATAGCATAAAAACATTATGTCGAACATCAGCACAAACATGAACATGTGTCTGTGTGAGCAGATGAGCACGCATGAACACATCAACATGAAACAGATCAGCAGCAACATGAAACAGATCAGCATCCACATGAAACAGATCAGCAGCAACATGAAACAGATCAGCAGCAACATGATGTGATTTTTCACAGTGATTATTCTGGTTAGAGATTCATGAGTCTTAACAGCCTCAGGGTAGAAGCTGTTCCTCAGTCTAGTGGTTCTACACTTAATGCTCCTCAACCTCCTTCCTGAGGGGAGCGGGGCAAAAAGTGTGTGTGCTGAGTGAGTGTGGTCCTTCATGATGCAGGTAGCCCTCTTCCTGCATCTGGAGGTGTAGATATCTATGATGGTGGGGAGACTGACTCCAACATCTTCTGTGCAGCCTTCACCACTCTCTGTAAAGCTTTTCTTTCTGCACATGTGCAGCCTCCATGCCACACGTTGATGCTGGAGCACAGGATGCTCTCCACTGCACACCTGTAGAAGGAGGTGAGGACTGAGCTTCACAGACCAGCTCGTCTCAGCCGCCTGATGAAGTAGAGTCTCTGATGAGCTTTCTTGATCAGGGTGGTGGTGTTGTTGCTCCAGCTAAGGTTGTCATTCAGGTGCACACCCAAGTACTTGTAGCTGGAGACCACTTCCACCACAGATGATTATCATTATTGTCAACATCCATCCATCCATCCATCCATTCTCTTCCGCTTATCCGGGGTCGGGTCACGGGGGTAGCAGCCTAAGTAGGGAGGCCCAGACTTCCCTCTCCCCAGCCACTTGGGCCAGCTCCTCTGGGGGAATCCCAAGGCGTTCCCAGGCCAGCCAAGAAACGTAGTCCCTCTAGCGTGTCCTGGGTCTTCCTCTGAGTCTCCTCCCGGTGGGACGTGCCCGGAACACCTCACCAGAGAGGCGTCCAGGAGGCATCCTAACCAGATGACCGAGCCACCTCAACTGGCTCCTCTCGACGTGGAGAAGCAGCGGCTCTACTCTGAGTCCCTCCCGGATGACCGAGCTTCTCACTCTATCTCTAAGGGAGAGCCCAGACACCCTGCGGAGAAAATTCATTTCGGCCGCTTGTATCCGAGATCTTGTTTGTTCGGTCACAACCCAAAGCTCATGACCATAGATGAGGGTAGGAACGTAGATTGACTGGTAAATTGAGAGCTTCGCCTTTTGACTCAGCTCTCTCTTCACCATGACAGACCTGTGCAGTGCCCACTTCACTACAGATGCTGCATCTATCCACCTATCGATCTCACGCTCCATTTTTCCCTCATTCGTGAATAAGACCGCGAGATACATAAACTCGTCCACTTGGGGCAGAATCTCCTCCCCGACCCGGAGAGGGCTATCTACCCTTTTCTGGCTTAAGACCATGGCCTCGGATTTGGAGGAACTGATCCTCATCCCGGCCGCGTCACACTCGGCTGCAAACCGCTCCAGCGAAAGCTGTAGATCACGACCTGATGAAGCCAATAGGACCAGATCATCTGCAAAAAGCAGAGAAGCGATCCTAAGGCCACCAAAAAACTGATCCCCTCAACACCTTGGCTGCGCCTAGAAATTCTGTCCATAAAAGTTATGAACAGAATTGGTGACAAAGGACAACATCTATACTGAAATGATACATTGATGGTTTAGGGCAGGGAAGGTAAAAGCCAATGTCTTCTTCACACATTGTATGCTGTCGTTCCAGAGCTGGACGTAAACAGACTGTAGATCTGCTGCTATTAGTTTGCTGGAAAATCATATGCAATACACACACATCATATGTATTATTAAACTGTATTTAATCAACATTTACATACTTTTACACTCTGCTCCTACTAGATATAGCAAATTAGCATTAGTTTACCTTCACACCTTGTATAACTTGCTTATTTATGTCTTCCCACACTCTCCTGCACTTCTCCAGAGCCTTTTGTCTCGCTGCCCGCAGCCTTTTCTATCTCTTTTCTCTTTGACGTTTGATAAAAAGCCACAGACTGAGCAGAATGTTCAATAAAGCTACCAGATCCTCCATTTTGGTTGTGCATCTTTTCAGGGTCTTCTTCTAATGCGTTAGTGGTGGCTAATAAATAGCTTAAGGGAGCACTACCGTCACCAGCTGGTAAGGTGAGTTGGATTTTGGACCCCGCCTACAGAACCGATACTGAACAGGCATATGGAAAAGCAACATGGACCGAGCTGAGCCGAACCGAGTCAAACTGTGCTGAAGAGAGGCTATGGAAAAGTGGCTTTAGGTACAAACAGAACCATTCTATCGCCGCACCTGTAATCCCAACCCAGTAATCTAACCTTGATATAATGATACTGTGGTCAGCAGTATCAAAAGCAGAGGTACGGTCCAGGAGTACAAGTATCACAAACTAGCCAGAATCGTTTGCTTACAGAATGTCATCACAAACTCGTAACTAAATCTGCTTCTGTGCTGTGTAATTGCTTAAAACCAGACTGAAAGATTTCAAAAACTCCCTTCTCATTCAAAAACTTAGAACACCTTGAACCAGAACCTGACCCTGAATCTTAAAACCAGACCAACCTCCAGTTTTCTGAACGTCCACAGAACTTTGACCACAGTGACTGATTTTGAGTGTGCTGAGTTCTGATTGGTGTAATGATATCACACTGTGTTGAGTTCTGATTGGTGCAGGTGATCATCAACAATGCAGCGGGGAACTTCGTCTGTCCGACAGAACGCCTATCTCCAAATGGCTGGAAGAGCGTCACTGACATTGTCTTGAATGGGACGGCATTTGTCACGCTGGAGCTCGGAAAGAGACTGATCCAGAACCAGAAAGGTGACTGGTCCAGACCCTGAGACACCAGAGGCTGGTCTAGAAGAAACGCTCCAGAATCATAGATGCAAGCCCAATTTGGACCCTCGTTGTTGTCTGATTTTTGTTTCTGTCCAATCAGGAGCCTCCTTCCTGGCCATCACTACCATTTATGCCGAGTCTGGTTCTGGTTTCGTGGTCCCAAGTGCATCAGCGAAGGCTGGAGTTGAAGCACTTTATAAGTCAGTCAGACTTTTCTCACAGACTGAACCCAGACCCAACCATGATGTTCTGACTGTGTACTTGTCACCTTGTTATGGGTCAGGTCTCTGGCTGCAGAGTGGGGTCGCTATGGTCACAGGTTCAACATCATCCAGCCTGGACCAATCAGAACAAAGGTACTGCCCATGTGAACCAGGTTCTCATTTCTCTAACATTCGCTGTTGTTTACTTGTTTGCTGGTTGTTGTCAGGGAGCCTTCAGCCGTTTGGACCCAACTGGAACCTTTGAGAAAACCATGATTGATCGCATGCCAACGGGTCGTCTTGGAAAGCCAGCAGAACTGGCAAACTTAGCAGCTTACCTGAGCAGCGACTATGCCACCTGGATGTCTGGAGCTGTGAGTTTCCACTGAGCCTGGCTCGAGGTTCTGCTTTGTCATGGGTCTCAGGTCCCAGTCATGTGACTGGAGTCCTGCTGGTAACAGCCGGTCTCTGTTCTCAGGTGGTCCGGTTTGATGGAGGAGAGTTTGTGTTGATGGCAGGAGAATTTAACGACCTGCGCAGGGTGAGTGTAGCTCGTCATCTAATCCAGTCTGTCCATGAGGCTGACACCACTTTTTTTTTTTTCCCCACTCAGCCCTTATTTCTACAGGTAAATCCCATTGAGCCTCAGGGACTCATTTACAAGAGAGACCTGATTTTAACAAAGAATGATGACAACAATGGACAGTCACAAAATAGGCATAGGCATGCAAATTTAAGTTTCTCTCTCTCTCTTTTTTTTTAATAAATAAGAATAAAATAGCAACCAAAGGGACAAACAAGAGGTGTAGTAGCTAAAGAAAAAAACCCAGCTAGAATATAAGGTGATTTAGAAAACTAAAAACAGGAACATGTCTGCATTGTTTTTTCCATGAACTTAACAGATTTTTAAAGCCAAAGTACACCTGAACTATAGAAAGTACACCTGGACCATAGAAAGTACACCTGGACTATAGAAAGTACACCTGGACTATAGGAAGTACACCTGGACCATAGATAGTACACCTGGACCATAGATAGTACACCTGGACCATAGAAAGTACACCTGGACTATAGAAAGTACACCTGGACTATAGAAAGTACACCTGGACCATAGGAAATACACCAGATCTATAGAAAGTACACCTGGACTATAGAAAGTACACCTGGACTATACAAAGTACACCTGAACTATAGAAAGTACACCTGGACTATAGAAAGTACACCTGAACTATAGAAAGTACACCTGAACTATAGAAAGTACACCTGGACTATAGAAAGTACACCTGGACCATAGAAAGTACACCTGGACCATAGAAAGTACATCTGGACGATAGAAAGTACATCTGGACCATAGAAAGTACACCTGGACTATAGAAAGTACATCTGGAATATAGAAAGTACATCTGGACCATAGAAAGTACATCTGGACCATAGAAAGTACACCTGGACCATATAAAGTACATCTGGACTATAGAAAGTACATCTGGACCATAGAAAGTACATCTGGACCATAGAAAGTACATCTGGACCATAGAAAGTACATCTGGATCATAGAAAGTACATCTGGACCATAGAAAGTACACCTAAACTATAGAAAGTACATCTGGACAATAGAAAGTACACCTGGACCATAGAAAGTACACCTGGACTATAGAAAGTACATCTGGACTATAGAAAGTAAACCTGGACTATAGAAAGTAAACCTGGACTATAGAAAGTACATCTGGACCACAGAAAGTACACTTTTGGACCATAGAAAGTACACCTGGACCATAGAAAGTACATCTGGACCGTAGAAAGTACATCTGGACCATAGGAAGTACATCCGGACAATAGAAAGTTCATCCGGACCATAGAAAGTACATCGGGACCATAGAAAGTACACCTGGACCATAGAAAGTACACCTGGACTATATAAAGTACATCTGGACTATAGAAAGTACACCTGGACCATAGAAAGTACATCTGGACCATAGAAAGTACACCTGGACTATAGAAAGTACATCTGGACCATAGAAAGTACACCTGGACCATAGAAAGTACACCTGGACCATAGAAAGTACATCAGGACCATGGAAAGTACACCTGGACTATATAAAGTACACCTGGACTATATAAAGTACACCTGGACTCTAGAAAGTACATCTGGACTATAGAAAGTACATCTGGACCATAGAAAGTATATCTGGACCATAGAAAGTATACCTGGACTATAGAAAGTACATCTGGACCATAGAAAGTACATCTGGACCATAGAAAGTACACCTGGACCATAGAAGGTACACCTGGACCATAGAAAGTACACCTGGACCATAGAAAGTACATCTTGACCATAGAAAGTACACTTGGACCATAGAAAGTACATCTGGACCATAGAAAGTACATCTGGACCA